CACTCCCTTCTTCAGCGTGGAGACTTTCTCTGATTTCTTACTTTTCCTGTAAGCCTTTTCCTACTTCCCTTTCCAATTAAGTTCTCATCTCCAGCCCTTGAGCCATCTGCTTTCCAAATCATCAGATGATCCTTCTGTTCTTCCACTTACCTGAGTCCCATTGATTCTAGAACCACTGAGCTGTCTCCCTGCCCTAAGCCTATACCTAGACATCTGAGCTCAGTGCAACCAAGAAAACCACATCAACACAGAGATCGATGCCCCTATAAATTAATGGTCTCTAAGCTTGAATGATGCCTAGCCAGCCCTTTCTGCTCATTTCCTCCATCAGTTCTGTTGCCCTCTGACCCCTTCATTATTATAAATAATCTTGCTGATTCTTTTACTTTTAACCCCACCATTATTTCTCCTCACTCTTAGGAAGAGGCGTGGTTAGGCAGAGAAGCTTGTTCCTTTCTCCATGTGGAACACAAGAGTCCTAAGAGAGCAAACCTTTAAGTCCCATGTCTGCTTTGCATTCAGGCTTTTCTCCTTCCTTCCTGTCTCAATGAAAGAACTCCCCTTTTGCCTTTCTCAGATGAACTTCCCCTGCTGTACTATGGATCCTATAGGGTTAATAGCTGGTACTTATTCACTAAGTTAATAGTGGTTGTGAGTACTCTCGTTGGGTCCTCTCACCTACTGAGGACTAGGATTATTTTTGAGTCTGTGTTCAACTGAGGCATAGGAAGGTTGAGAGATTGTCCCATGGTCATATAGGAGCCAGGATTTGGTCTGGGCTGGACCCTTGCTCTCAGCCATGGTGCTATGCTTTCCTTTCCTGCCCGCTCAGAGAACTCTCTGTCCATCCGATATTCCCAGCGTCTTCCCATTTTTTCACTCTGTCTCTCTGTCTCCTGCTTGTTCACACAAGGATTTAAATAGGCACAAGTCTATTTCATCTGTTAAAATGAGCACTCATCCTCCTGAAACCACCACCTCCCCTTTACAGCTAAACTTACCAATAAAGTGCTCTGGAGACATTCACTGTCTCCAGTTTCCTCTCACTCACTCCTCAGACCTTTGCAGTCCAGCCCCAGCCCAGCAAAGGTCTCTCCAAGATGAACCTCCACATCGTGAAGGTCATTGGGTGCTCCTTGGCCTCTGCATTTTACTTGGTATTCCCGGATTATTCTGTGCTACCGATCTCTTCCTCTTTCTCCAGACACCCTCTTCCCTCTCCTGCCTGCCCTTTCCTGATTTTCTCTGCTCACTCCCAGCCTCATTAGAGGGCCATTTATCTCTGCCAATCACCGTGAAGTCTGTGGTCTTTCTGACTTTGCGCTAGGCTCCTTTATATTCCTTCTGCACATGTGTCCTGGGTAACCTCATGCACTCTTAGGGCTTCATTCCTGTTTACATGCTGGTGAAGGCCAAGTCCATATCTTCAGCCTGGATAAGGGCCTGTGTAGCAGCTCTTTGCATGTATCCTGCTGCCTGCTGGACATCTCAGTTGGATGACCCTGTGTAAACACGGGATTCTATATGTGTAAAACTAAGCTTAGCTTGAAAGCAAGACAGAGAAGAGATTAAAAATGTGGGCTCTGAAATCAAACCTGATTCTGCCAGTTACTAGTGACGTTGCCATTTCTCATGTGTGAAATGGGAACAGTGATCTTACAGGGCCATTGTGAGAATTAAGTTCAAAGTGCCTAGAGCAGTGCCAGGTGTAGAGTGAGTCCCCCATGGTCATTAGCTTCGATGGGTGTCAACCTCTCCCACCTTGAGCACCAGCACTGCTACAGCTGCCACTCAGCCCCTCCTTCCCCAGTGCTCTCCTCATCTCAGTGGACCATCGCAATGCGAGTCGACTTCAGCCCCCGAAGTGCGCAGCTGCCAGGCAGGCATCTCACATGCTGCATCTCCCTTGATCTTGGCTACAGCCCTTTGAGGTGGGGCCTGTTACCTTCTTCAGCCTCTACGGAAATGAAGCATCCAAGGTTCAATAGCTTGTTCTGGTCTCAGGACACTAGAATTTGTATTCACACCTGCCTGGGCTCAGTCTCTTTGCAGTGACATTCTGCCTTCCCAACCCCTGTAGGAGTTGGACAGAAGCCTGAGGGTCATCTTTGACTTTTCCTTTCTCTTTCCACCCCCAGCAAAATGCCACCAGTTGCCACGTTTTGTCAGCTTGATCTGCTGAGTATTGGGAGAGATCTTCACTTCTTCATCATCTCACTAGGATAATAAATTCTGAGTTCTCATCTCTAATGTGATGTTTTAACAGAGCACCTTCTTTTTAAACATTGAGCACAGTGTCAGGTACTGTGCTAGGCAGGAGGCTACAACAGTCGGCAAGAGAGATGTGGTCCCGTCCCCACTGGGCTTCTGGTCTGTAAGTGACACTTATTGTGTGTGTCACACATGAGCATGGGGTTCTGAGCCCAGAATTTGGTAGTACCTAGGATCAAGGCAAGCAGTTGTCCTGGGTCCTGCTTTGTCGTCTCCTACTTAAGTTGCTGCCACTAACTTGTCTCTGCCTTCCCATATCGCTCCCCCACCCACCTATTCTCTGCAGGACACCAGCAGTATGTGTTCTTCAACAGCCCTGGCCCAAGACACTTTCTGTCCCCTCCTGTAGGGTCAAGTTCAAAGTCATTAACATAACATCCAGGGCTCTTCACTGTCTGGCTTCTGCTGTCCTCTTGAGCTTCATGGCTTGCTGCCTCTCCTATAGCAAGTGAAAATCTGGTTTTATTAGCTTTCCTTGAGTTTCTATATCATGCAAGAGAAAGAATGACCCAGATTAGATACACGTTTCCTCAGGAAGCTTGCCTTGATCCTAGATACTACCAAATTCTGGGGTTGGTACCCTATGCACGGCTCATGTGTGACACCCTGACCAATGCATACAGACAGGGAGCCTGGTGGGGACAGGGACCACATCTCTTTTACAGACTCTTGTAGCCTTTTACCTAGCACAGTACCTGACACTGTGTCCACTGTTTAAAAAATAGATACTCAGTTAAAATATCACATTAGAGATTAAAACTCAGAATTCATTACCTCCTTGAGACCATGCAGCTCCCTAGCAACAACTGCAGTAGTTGGCAGCACAGATTTTGTTACCGAACTTGGATTCAAGTCCTGCCTCTGCTGCTTACATACCCTAAGCCTCAGTTTCCTGCTTTGTTAAATAGGCGGGAGAAATAGGCTTTCTAAGTATGGAAGAACAAGTGAGAGAGATCACGGCGACTGTCAAACACAGAACCTGTGTGTGTAAACAATCCTCAGGTGGTAGGTTTCCATCTGAATGCCCAGTGCTCACTGTAGCACTTTGGACTGTGCGCACATGACAGTTTCAAAGCCAGGTCTCCTGATGGGTGCACCGAGCTCTTGTTCACAGAAAATAAAGAGTGAAGATAATTCCATTAGGGAAATTCTCAGGTTTTAAAAAGTATTTTATCCAGTGATTGTTTTTGGCTATGTGAATATCTCTAGAAAGACTAAACTATACTGAAGTATGAAGATATCAACTTGGGATCATTCCTAAGGTTCTTTTATCGTTAAATAAAAAGGAATGGTTACATTTTAATTTTAATGAAGTTCTAAACCTACTTAATATTATTGCATATGGGCTGGCCTTCATGACTGACAGATACTTTTCATTTATATTTATATGGCTGCTTTCTCATGCAGAAGGTACAGATTTTTTTCATTTGTCAGTAGAATAAGCATATTGTTATCTAACAAGTTTCAGTGAAAGATTTGATACTTTAATTTTATATCACAAATGTGAACATTGCTTATAAATTGAGTTAATAGGCAGTATTTTGGAAGCAGGCTGCCACGAGTTCATATCCTGGCTTCAGCATATATTACCGCTGTGACCTTGGAGAAGGTGTTCAACATACCCAAACTTTTGGATTCCTCATCTGTGAAATGGGTTATTGTTTGCTGCCTTCAGAATTTGCTGGGTGGACAGAGGGAGATTATGTGTAAATCACGCCACACAGCACATATCAGTTCTGCCTACAAAAGCCACCATACCGTGGTCCCAGCTGCCCAGGAGCCTGAGACAGGAAGATTGCTTGAGCTCGGGAGGTCCAGGCTGCAATGAACCGTGATCACACCACTGCACTCCAACCTGGACATCAAAGCAAGACCCTGTCTCAAAAACCCCAAAAACAAAGGCCACTGGACATCTTATTCTCAATATTACCCCACATTATTAAATTGGAAAGGGAGCTATTTGAAGTATTTGTTAGCTCATTTCTAAATAATTGTTTCCAATGTGGATTTTATGCATTATTCAAGGAAGAAGATTTATGGTGACTTTTTCTGTAGCAAGCTTTTTAGCTGTATCTGCCCTCTATCACAGCAGAAAAATGTATAAGCTTAAGAATTATAGTTCAGGGTTGGGAGGTGCTGGCAGTGTCTGACCCAACCCCAGTCCCAACCCTGAAAAAAAGCATAAAAAATAAATACGGCTTATGCTGCTTAATAAGAATAGTGAATCTTTGCAATAATTAAATAAATATTTGATAAGAAATCAGCTTGTGTTATTATTTTAGTGAGTTTTAAAATTCCCAGTGACCTAAATCCCTTTATTCTACAACAGTATGGTAAATCTATTCACAATTTCAGAACCCCCGACAGCTCCTATAGTGCAGAAGTATTAATTACAGAAGGAACTTCGTGAACCAACATGCAGCAAAACTATAAATCAGCGAAAGTCCTCGTTTGACTACTGTTTATAATTACTGTTGGTACTCAGTTGCTGTCATGACTGTGATTATCATGAGAAGTGTGTAGAAGTGTGAGAAGTATAAAACAGAGCTAACTTTTTGGAGTGTTTCATGAAATTATTGGGAAATGTGATATTTATAAAAAGATGTTTCTATTTGTGCATGGCTATTGGCATTTAAGTACCTTACTGCTTTTCTCCTGATATTCCTTCCTGTTAAATGTTTTCCTTAATTGATGTCTGTGGTCTCTCTCTCTCTCTACCTCCCTGGCAGTCTTTTCTCTGTAAAAGGACCCATCTGTCTAAGGTAGAGATTCTCCTTTTTTATGTATTAATCAGTGCTAAGCTGCATGGAATAGACATGCTTATCATTTAGAAGTCTTTTTTAACTCTGCTTCTTCAATACAGTTTTTGTTTGTTTGTTTGTTTGTTTGTTTGTTTTCCTTCAAGTAAAACTCATCCTTTTCAGCTTAAGTTCAAGCTCCCAAAAGTATGTCTAATTCGTAATCATAGTCCTAGAGCAAAGAATGCATTTTAAACTTGCTAATCCATGGTCATTAAAAGTAATACTTGAAAAACTGATGCTCTTTTTAATATATGACTCTGTATACAGAGAGAGAGAAAAGCTCTTTAGAAAAGTGACTAATTTTCATTTGATTTTATTAGACTTGAATTTGAGAGGCAGCAGCGTGAAGAACTTGAAAAATTAGAAAGTAAAAGGTAAGTCATATGGGGCTTAAGTTTCAACACACCTGTGGTGTGGATTCCTGTGTTGATATCCTGGACCGATTTGATATGTCTCCTTCAATACTTCCCTCTTGCTCTGTGTCTGTTATTTACATGTCTAATGACCCCAGGTCTTTTTTTTTCTTTTTTTTAGAGTAGTTGGTTTTTCTTCAAGTTAAAATTTTTTAAACAGTTAGTCTTCAAATATTTATGAGAAATGGGAAATAGAGTCAGTAGGCAAATTTAACATACCAATTAAATTTAATATGCCAAAATGTATTCATTTAAATTTAATCAAAAGTAGATCTTCTCTTAACAATATCCCCTGAGTTTTTAAAAAGCCTAAAGAATGACAATTTCCCTTCCTTATACCTCCCTGCTTTTCATACATCTTTTCTGATACTGTTTGGCTGTTTGTATTTCCCCATGTATAATTTGCTTCTATTCTTTGCTCACTTTTCTTCTGTGTAGGGGAGGGCAGGATCGGGGGAGAAATGGCCGTTAAATGGATTTGGAGAGTTCTTTGTATGTTCTGAAATAATTCTCTACCTGATAAAACTGTCTTTTCTCCTTTTCTGTTTTTCCTGTTGTATTTAACCAGCCAAGACATAGATAAGAGATGACAATTAGAGTAGAAACTAAGGCTATGGGAAGTCTGCAAAGTTAATGTTTATTTTGTAGGACCTGGAGTTTAAATGTCACAAGTAATTGGCTTAGTTTCCCAGCATCATCCAAGACAGGCGTTTGGTGGGTCAGGAGGAGGAGGCTGTGTGTTTGTACTCTAACTCTGCGTTCTTGCTTCGGAGGCCATCCCAACTCTAAACTTCAGTGCAGTCCCCAGTGGAGATCATTCGTTCTCCAAGAGAAAACACAACACATCACTCCCAACGCTCGCAAAATTATGCATTTGTATATGCTAATGGAGGCTCCAGTTATTTCCAGTGTTATGCACCAGTAAACTAACATTTTGGACCATTTGGTGATCACCATTTGTACCAAACTAGTGATTAAATGTTAAATAGTATGTAGTTTTTTAGCTGGAACAATGAACTGTCAATTGCCATGACTTTGATATTTGACCCCAATGAGATGAGGACAGCATAAGCATTTTTACTTAATGTTATCTTGTAACTGAACTTCCATTGAGTTTTAGTCATTGGGCTGAATAAACTTATTCACATTTAATTTAAATTGGGCATGGTTCTTTCTCTTTGAGCTCAGGGGTCTTTTAAAATTATATCATGCATAACACAGTATGATTACAAGCTCTACAAAGAAATGATATCAGAAGCCACTTCAGGAGAATAGGCAGATGATATGTTGGGTAGTTCAAAAATAAAAAAAATTAAACAGGATGCTGCTGAAAATTTAAGGGAAAGCAGTTGCTCTTCTTCTTCTGTGTTAATGGAGGCTTTGACCTGGTTGTATGTACACTTTCACAACATTTCAGTAAAGTTAGAGCAGCACTTGAACAATGATTAGATAATGACAAGTCAGTGCTTTGCATTTCAGGAAACTCATAGAAGAAATGGAAGAAAAGCAGAAATCAGACAAGGCTGAACTGGAGCGGATGCAGCAGGAGGTGGAGACCCAGCGCAAGGAGACAGAAATCGTGCAGCTCCAGATTCGCAAGCAGGAAGAGAGCCTCAAACGCCGCAGCTTCCACATCGAGAACAAGCTAAAGGATTTACTCGCCGAGAAGGAAAAGTTTGAAGAGGAAAGGCTGAGGGAACAGCAGGAAATCGAGCTGCAGAAGAAGAGACAAGAAGAAGAGAGCTTTCTCCGCTTCCAGGAAGAACTCCAACGACTCAAAGAACTCAACAACACTGAGAAGGCTGAGAAGTTTCAGATATTTCAAGAACTGGACCGGCTCCAAAGGGAAAAAGATGAACAGTGTGCCAAGCTTGAACTGGAAAAAAAGAGACTGGAGGAGCAGGAGAAGGAGCAGGTGATGCTCGTGGCCCATCTGGAAGAGCAGCTCCGAGAGAAGCAGGAGATGATCCAGCTCCTGTGGTGTGGGGAGGTGCAGTGGGTGGAAGAGGAGAAGAAGGATCTGGAAGGTATTAGGGAATCCCTCCTGCGGGTGAAGGAGGCACGTGCTGGAGGGGATGAAGATGGCGAGGAGTTAGAAAAGGCTCAACTGCGTTTCTCTGAATTCAAGAGAAGGCAGCTTGTCAAGCTAATCAACTTGGAGAGGGACCTGCTTCAGCAGAAAGACCTCCTGAAAAAAGAAATCCGAGAAGAACAGGAGATCCTAGACTGTTTAAAATATGAACAGGACAAAGAATCTAGATTGTTGGGAAAACATGATGAAAGTGTCACAGATGTCACCCAAGTGGCTCAAGATTTCGAGAAAATGAAGCCAGTGGAGTACAGGTTGCAATATAAGGAACGCCAACTACAGTACCTCCTGCAGAATCACTTGCCAACTCTGCTGGAAGAAAAGCAGAGAGCATTTGAAATTCTTGACGGAGCCCCTCTTAGCTTGGACAATACTCTTTATCAAGTAGAAAAGGAAATGGAAGAAAAAGAAGAACAGCTTGCACAGTACCAAGCCAATGCAAGCCAGCTGCAAAAGCTCCAAGCCACCTTTGAATTCACTGCCAACATTGCGCGTCAGGAGGAAAAAGTGAGGAAAAAGGAAAAGGAGATTCTGGAGTCCAGAGAGAAGCAGCAGAGAGAAGCACTGGAGCGGGCTGTGGCCAGGTTGGAGAGGAGACATTCTGCACTGCAGAGGCGCTCTACCCTGGGCATGGAGATTGAAGAGCAGAGGCAGAAACTTGCCACTCTGAACAGCGGCAGCAGAGAGCAGTCAGGGCTCCAGGCCAGCCTGGAGGCTGAGCAGGAAGCCCTGGAGAAGGACCAGGAAAGGTGAGATTGGGAAGGAAGGGTATGGCATACAGTGGGTGCCAAATGAGTGTTCATTTTTCACTCCTTATGTTATCACTTTTTTTTTAAGTTATTCTTTTAGTCTTTATATTCTGTAATACATAGGCAAATGCTTATATTTGCCAGAACCGAGAAAAGTACTCCTAAGCTTCTTGTATTTCTCCTTAGGGTCCTTGTTACAGAATTGCTGGCCTAAAGTTGAAAAACGCATGAACGAAAGCAAAGCTATTGTTCGTTATACCACTGACCCATGGAATGTGTGTGTTTTAATATTTTGGTAAATGCAAGACTGAGAATGTTTCCGCTTTGATTTCTCCCTTCCTTCTTCCATGTCTCCCCGGCCTGTCTCCTGCTCTTTTCCTTTCTTCTTCCCCTTCATTTCCCTCCTCTCCCTTCCCTTGCATCTATTTCCTCCTCCTTTCTCTTCCTGTGCCCTCTCTCTTCACTCTCCTTCCCGTTTCTTCCTTCCCTCCTCGCCTGTCTCTCTCTTGCTCCCTTTTTCCTTCTCTCCCTGTTTTCCTCCCTCCTCCCTCACCTCTTTCTATCTCTGCTTCCCTGCCCCCTTTCTTTTTTTTTTTGAGATGAAGTTTCGCTCTTGTTACCCTGGCTGGAGTGCAATGGCGTAATCTCAGCTCACTGCAACCTCCGCCTCTTGGGTTCAGGCAATTCTCCTGCCTCAGCCTCCTGAGTAGCTGGGCTTACAGGCACGAGCCACCATGCCCAGCTAATTTTTTGTATTTTTAGTAGAGACGGGGTTTCACCATGTTGACCAGGATGGTCTTGATCTGTTGACCTTGTGATCCACCCACCTTGGCCTCCCAAAGTGCTGGGATTACAGGCGTGGCCCCTTCCCTGCCCTTTCTTACCAATAGGTTCACGTCTTCTCCATGACCAGCATTTGTTGTAGTTAAGTATCATCCCTGGAGTTCATGGTTTGCATACAGGCTGCTGATTCCTACAACCTGTTGGGAATGAAAAATCATGACTTCCCCGTTCCCTATTGAGTCATAGTATTTAAGAGCAGGCCTCAGGACTCTGCGTTATCAGTCAGCTGAACCAACAAACAAAACTCCAGATGATTCTGAACACAGTGGGATGTTAGAACATGTGTGGTGATTTACTGATTGTTTTGTTGTTGTGAAAAATAAAACTAGGAAACGAGCACTCTTGTCATGTAAGGTAAGAATATTTATCTTCCTGGCCAGGCGTGGTGGCTCACACCTGTAATCCTAGCACTTTGGGAGGTAGAGGTGGGTGGATCACCTGAGGTCAGGAGACCAGCCTGGCCAACATGGTGAAACCCTGTCTCTACTAAAAATAATTAAAAAAACAAAATTAGCCGGGCGTGGTGTCGGGCACCTATAAACTTGGGAGGCTGAGGCAGGAGAATCTCTTGAACTCAGGAGTGAGTTCAGTGAGCCAAGATTGTGCCATTGCACTCCAGCCTGGGCAACAAGAAGGAAACTCTGTTTCAAAAAAAGAAAAAGTAAAAAAAAATTTTTTTTAAAGAATATTTATCTTCTTTCACCTATTTTCTGTCACCATACTTACCAGACCATAAGTTCTAAAAATAAATATTATGTGAATTTGAAAACACGTTTTCTGGAGCCTTGAAGACATGATGACAAGACTCACAGAAAGGCCAGCAGCCACCTGGTGTGCAAACACCAACCAGTTTAGAGACTTGCAAGAGAAATAGATATCCTGGTTCAGCCCCTTCCTATCAAGATGATAGGCTCTTCCTACCTTGGGCAGGATCTTTCATCATTGGGCCTCAGTGTCACCGCCTGCACAAGGAGAGGATGGATGAGATCACAGGATCACGATCTGGGTCCAGGCTGGAGTGCAATTGTGTGATCATAGCTCACTGCAGCCTCAAACTCCTGGGCTCCAGCAGTCCTCCTGCCCCAGCCATCCAAGTAGCTGGGACCCCAGCTGTATACTACCATGCCTGGCTATCTATCTATCTATCTATCTATCTATCTACCTACCTACCTACCTGTTTTTAGAGTTGGAGTCTCCCTGTGTTGCTCAGGCTAGTCTTAAACTCCTGGGTTCAAGCTCCCTATTCAGTTGAGATCTTTACTGAAGCCCAGATTGGAGAGCTGAAACCCTGCCCTCTCTGCAGTATTCCACCCACCCAAAGCACCTCCTGAGGGGGCTGCAGCAGAAGTCCAGTCTACTGGCCTGGAGACCCCACCTTGGCATTTAGCAGATGCGTGGGGCCAGTTGCTCATAACAAGGCAAGAGCTACTCAGAAGTCTTACTGTTGCCTTCCCCCATCATTTTGCCTGAAAAGGTCAGGACAACCTCCATTGAAATGATTGGCTTATGCTATGGATTATATTTACCATCATTGCTCTCTGGTGGTTCCCTCAGGCAAAATAGGAACAAAGTAACAATCAAAAACAATAATGCTGTTATTTCATAGAAATAGGTTGGAGGTTTAAGAAAATGATTGCAGGTATGTCACGTAAATGACATTGCTGGACAAAGATCCAGCCCCAGGAAATTTAAAGTATCGGAGGGCACACTCTCAAGGTGTAGCCTGTGGTGTATGATAAGAATGCAGCATGAGCTTCTATCTTGATGTCCTTGCCTTTTGTCAGCCAGCCACTTAGTATTAATACTGTATAATAGCAGACGCAGGATTGCAGTTTCCACAGGAGCAATTACAGAATGTGAGTGTTCCCCAGAAGCCAAGCAAAGTGGGCTGTTAGCTTCACGAGTTTCATGAAACAGACTTAGCTAAGTCCTAATTCAGGCCAACGAATTCTGGGCTCTCTGCTGTGACTGCGATGCCCCTGCAGCTTTCTATGGGAATTTCTGTTGTGCTTCATTTTCTCCCAGGGTTCTCACAGCTAAGCCAGGATTTACTGTGCAGCCTGACTTGGCCCCTTGTAAAATTCCACAAGTGCGAAATATTAAATTCATGCAGACTGGACTGGACAAGAGTGTCCTGGACTTGGCTCTCCTGTTGCCTTCTCAGTGCTTTATGAACCAGGTTTAATCCATTTTCCTGCCTTTTTTCCCACCAGCTGCTCATGCTAGCTGCCCTGTTGACGTGGATCAGGTAACGCAAGAAAAAAACTCTCCTGTCACCACAGAAGGGATAACAGAGACAAGTTAATACTCACACTTAATCCCATCTTCTTGTCAGAGTCCTTTAATAATGAGACAGTGATGGTAACAGTCACGATGCAAACCATGAAGAGTAACTCTGTGTACCTCAGATCCTGCCTTAAATGCCACATGTGCATTGTCATTTACTCTTCCAATGAAGAGTGCCATCACCTCCAGTTTACACATGAGGAAACTGAGGCCTGCAGCGGTCGTATAACCATTGGGGATTAGTGTCACACAGTTAGCAAGTGACAGAGTAGCAAGTCAGATCTCGATCTCCTCATCACCTCATCATCGATCTCTGAGCCACTTAGCCCTCTAGTCTCCTGACAAACTGTCTGCTACATGGGAAGGCCAGCTTGTCCCTTGCCACCCATGTAAATCTCACTCAGGCTTCAGGATCCCAGTCCAACCTCCCTTTGCTCTGTGGAGTCTTTTGCTTTAGCCACTGGCCCTGTGCTGAAAGACAATTCTTAACAACCCCAGCAGGAGTTTTCTCAGCTGTAAATGTTGCTAATTGCCTACCTATATCCAGCTCTTTTTTTTTTTTTTTTTTTTGGCTATTGATGATACCTTATTAATATTGCTCCCCAATTCTTTGCCCACCATGAGGCCTCTGATATCTTTTTTTTTTTTTTTTTTTTTTGCTTATGTCTTCTCTTTTGAAAATACTGTATGTTCTGCAAGCTGATGCTCTAGAAATACTCGCTAAGAAAGGGCCAAATCACACTGGGCAAAGCTGTGTGTGGGTCCCATGAGTGCTTACCCTCATGACCCTATGATCTCATGTCTGAAAGTCCAGGACTTGGCTTTCACGTTCAAAATAGAGTGGTCAAATTGCTGCTGGTGACACCAGAGGGCTGGCAGCATCATGGTGTGTTGGCATCTGAAGCCAGAATCTCTGATTTTTTAGAGCTGAAGCAATTGAGGGAGATTAGTTGGTCCTCTCATTTGATCCATGAAGAAATAGAGACCCATGTTTAAAGAACTTGCCCAAGTTCACACACTGAGTGGACTGCAGTCTCAATTCTTCCTCGGTGTATCAATAGGGTATCGTCAAATTCACTGCCAAGCCCGGCCATCTGGCCTGATGGCCCTGTATTCAAGTTTGCCTGGGTCAGTGGGGACATGACCTTAGACACATTTGACCTCCCATAGACGTGTCGTTTATCTCTGGAGGTAAATTTTACGGTTTATTTTAGTGTGTCATGGAACTCAACCTACTTTCCTAGGCCAGTCTCCCCTGCTTTCCCTTCCCACAACCTCTGCCTTAACCCAAAGTGAATGCCTGGTTTTCATGGCCTTGCCCCATTGCTCATATTGCTTTCTACACTTAGATAATCTTCTGCCATCATCTCCAAATGCCAACATTCCCACTGGCCTCTGGAGACTCAACTTAGAACTGTGTTGACTATGATTCTCCTAGACTGGTGGTTTTTAAAACTCTTTAAAACATTGATCTTTTTTAAGTATTTACCAGAACCCCGATAGGTAGTCTACAACCAACTATTGTTGAAGCAGGAGTCAGGGCCTCAGAATCCTACACATCTACCTCAAGGACTTGCTTAGAGCACAGTAGAGAGGTCTTTGCTCTTGATGGTCAAACTTACTCTACCCTCTGGATGTCTGTATTGCTCACCCTGGACACTTCTTCTGGTCCATTGGTATTTTATGTCTTGTCTAAATGGTCTGTAGTACCTTTTCTATTAGAATGTAAAGCTCTTTGCACATAGAGGACAGATCTTGATCTCCCTTATTGTCTAAAACAATGTCTCACACAGTAAGGAAGCTCAGGAAATACTATTAATGAATGAATTATCTGGCTTCCGTCTGTATAGGTTAGAATATGAAATCCAGCAGCTGAAGCAGAAGATTTATGAGGTTGATGGTGTTCAAAAAGGTCATCATGGGACCCTGGAAGGGAAGGTGGCTTCTTCCATCTTGCCATTCAGTGCTGAAAAATCACAGCTGGTTCCCCTAATGGATGCCAGGTACTAGACATGAAAGTGATTCCATGCTTTTCATTTGATGTAATTCAAGGACTCATTGTTTCTCTATTGACTGCTTTGTAACTGGAGGGCTTTATTAAGGGCAACAAGTAAGACATGTGCTCTAGATGTGCTCTGGCTTCATCTGCCATTGCCCTGCCAGTCGTTGGGTAAGGGATCATTTCAAGAAGGTCAAGGACTTGAGAACTGGCTAGCCAGATCCAAGGAATCTTGTGGCAGGTACGGTTGTCCCTTGGTGTCTGCAGAGGATTGGTTAGAGGACTGCCCTTTGATACCAGAATCCCCACATCCTCAAGTCCTCCTGTCAGCCCCCTGGAACCTGCAGTTAGGCAAAGTTGGCCCTCCATATATGCCCTCCACATGTTCTCAGTCTGTGTATACTTATGGATGTAGAACCACTAATAGGGAGGTCCAGCTGTATTTATTGGGAAAAAAAAAAATCCACATATAAGTAGATCTGTGCTATTCAAACCTGTGTTGTTCAAGGGTCAAGTGTGGTTTGTGTGAAAGGCTGGATGAAAAGTTGCAGGGAAACCAGCTCATTCAGCACAAAGTGAGGCAAGGCCAGGTTGACAAAAACAAAGGCCTAGAATTAACTTAATTGGCAGTTACTTTATACGCCACTGATTACAAATAGATGAAGTTTGTTTTAAAAACTACTAGTATATTCAGAATGATTGTGAGTATAATAAATATATATCTGATGTTAATTAAGTGATTTTTCAACTTAAGTGGCACTATATATTGCTCTGTGGCTTAGAGCCCTTTGAAAAATCAGCTTAATTATTCTTTGCCTATAAGAAAACAATGATTATCTTTCTTTACTCCATTTAACCATGGGAGCATTTGAAATTAGGCAGTCTTGAATCCTAGATATTAGGAGATGTATATTTGGATATCAAAATGTACTCAGAATGGCATGAGCCTCATATTCCACAGGCTGGTTTCAAATTTAAGTGAATGTCAGGAGAGATAAGTGGTAAATGGCCTTCACTCATGTTCAGTAGCACATGATTTTATAATATTGAAAGATAAACACTGTGATTTATTTGGGCTCTTTTACCTAAATTTTAATCTCTTTACCTAGCATTTTAGAAAATCATTTCTCTGTAGTCAGTAGTATAGAAACGATTACAGGGTTATGCATGTGTTTATGCAGATTTACTTATTTATTTAGTGAGAATGTGCTAACATATAAACATGGAAACCATTACATTTAAAATCATCCATCCTTCCAGGTGTGGTGGCTCACGCCTGTAATCTCAGCATTTTCGGAGGCTGAGGTGGGCAGATCCCCTGAGGTCAGGAGTTCAAGACCAGCCTGGCTAACATAGTTAAATCCCTTCTCTACTAAAAATACAAAAATTAGCTGGGCGTGGTGGCGGGCACCTGTAATCCCAGCTACTTGGGAGGCTGAGGCAAGAGACTTGCTTGAACCTGGGAGGCGGAGATTGCAGTGAGCTGAAATCACATCACTCCACTCCAGGCTGGGTGACAAGAGCGAGACTCCATTTCAATAATAATAATAATTCATCTAATCAGTATCTGTAGAATTGGAGGAGGGGAGTCTAGAACAGAATGACTTCCATTTGGGTAGTGTATGCCCCTAGAAAGATTTTCAATCAAGGTAAAATTCTCTAGCCTTTCTGGTTCCTCCAGGTGGAATCACCTAAAACATTTAGGTGGAAATGCCAGAGATTAGACTGAAATCCACTGAGGTGGTCAAGGCTGATAGTTTTGCTTCGTACAACTTCACCTCCAGTTTATGAGATACCAGATAATAAGCTGACATTGCTTCAAAAGTCAGCTGTTTTTGGCTTCCTCTGTTTCCTGGCCCTGTCCTAGGCATTTTGGAAGGTAGAGACCTTTAAGATGTGGTCTTGCTGGCCAGGTGCAGAGAACCCATTCGGAGAGACAAGACAGACTGGAAATGATGCAAGTGTGCAAGACGTTGTTCAATCTGAAGGAGAAAGATTTGTAGAGAGTATGTCCACCTCTTTTGTTAATCCTCATACATGGCCTGGAGATGTAAGAAATAACTATCATCTGTACTATCCTTTTCTTTTTTTTTTTGAGACAAAGTTTCACTCTTGTTACCCAGGCTGGAGTGCAATGGCATGATCTCGGCTCACCACAACCTCCACCTCCTGGGTTCAGGCAGTTCTCCTGCCTCAGCCTCCTGAGTAGCTGGGACTACAGGCACACGCCACCATGCCCAGCTAATTTTTTGTATTTGTAGTAGAGACGGGGTTTCACCACGTTGACCAGGATGGTCTCGATCTCTTGACCTCATGATCCACCCGCCTCGGCCTCCCAAAGTGCTGGGATTACAGGCGTGAGCCACCACGCCTGGCCTGTATTATCCTTTTCTGTATGAGGAACACAAGTCTCTGCGAAGGAAATATTCTGTCTTGGAGTCAGATCTGAGATTGCAGAGCCTTCTGAAGCCAGTGACTGATTTTCTCCCATCCTGCAGTGGGCATTCCACTAAGGACCTGAATGGGATCACTTATCTCCTTTCCATTCTCAGTATTCTGTAACTTATCCAGTTCTACCTTATTTGGGCAAAACCCAGACAGTGAACACATAGCACCAGATTTCTTGAACAAAATAAAAATGAAGTTCTCAAGTTGTTGTTATGTTTGGCATTTAGAATGAGATTGCTCCCTGCTGTGAAAGCAATAGTAAAGAAAGGATCTCAGAATGTCCTGTGTGGTTAGAAGTGTCAGATCTACTCCATCTCCATTGCGTTTCAGGATCAATGCTTACATTGAAGAAGAAGTCCAAAGACGTCTTCAGGATTTGCATCGTGGAATTAGTGAAGGCTGCAGTACATCTGCAGATATGAAGGTAAGCTGAAGGAGCCAAGTAACAAGTAACATGTTCATTCATCTTTCTTTTCTTTCTTTCTTTTTTATTTATTTATTTTTTTTAGACTGAGTCTTGCTCTGTTGCCCAGGCTGCAGTAGCACCATCTTGGCTCACTGGAACCTCCACCTCCCAGGTTCAAGGGATTCTCATGCCTCAGCATCCCAAGTAGCTGGGACCACAGGTGGACCGCCACCACACCTGGCTTATTTTTGTATTTTTAGTAGATTTCACCATGTTGGCCAGGCTGATCTCAAATTCCTGACCTCAAGTGATCTGCCTGCCTCAGCCTCCCAAAGTGTTGTTATTACAGGCATGAGCCAGCCCACCCAACCCATTCATCTTTCAAGATGACCTTGAAGTTAAGTTTTTGGTGATAGTGCTGGGGTCTTTTCTTACTGTTTTCCAGTGAGAAAATTAAGATGTGGAATGTTCTAGAAAAAAATATTAAATATTGCTTGGGCAGGGTGTAACAGTTTATAAATAGTACTAATTCGAGAGTAACTTTATTTTATACTTTTGTAATTCTGTGAAAAGTTTTAAGTGACTATAAAGTCTACAATGCTTTTTAATTCTATATGCAACATTCTTCTTCCAATTTCCACATTTATTTAGTTTACTTTTTAAATTATCCAAAGTAGAAATAGAATTTTCACTTAAAGAAGATACATATTTGTGACAAGTCTATTTAATTGAAAGAAAGACAATGCATTTCTATCCTGCGAATTAAGAAATGGCCTAAGGAAATCTTGTTTTTAATATTATTCTTAGAATTTTAAGATTAGGAGTAAATGGTTCAGTTCTCTGATGGCAGATGTATCAATAGAGTCCATGTTTATCTTGAGGATATAAATTATATAGAAGGGGTGTCATTGTTGAATGACAAGTATGTTTGTTTAGAATTTCATTCCCATAAATACTTGTAATCAAATCAGTCCTCCGCCCCATGAACTTGCTATAATTTAATATAGAGGGCTTTTTGTTTTCTTTTCAGGATAATGAGAAACTTCACAATGGCACCATTCAACGCAAGCTAAAATATGAGGTAGGTAATGATTTTTCAGATTGATAGGGTCGCCTTAAATTATGGCATGCTCATGTGATTAAATTTTCTTAATGTTAAGTTGCATAATTAGAATTTTAAAGTCCCAGTGAGATTAATGGCTAGTAGGGAAGGCAAGCTATTATATGGACTTAAAATTAAACGGAATCCTGCAGGTTGAAACTGCTTTGACTTTATTTGAATGGCATGTAGCTGTGGTGGAGCTTTGCCCCATTTTTCATTTGTAACAGTATATTTTCCCTTGGTCTGCATTGAAAAGGCAGCATTATGTAATCGGAATCAGATATAGGGTTTGGAAATGAAACTGAGTACTCCTCAGTGTTTTTAAAACCCTGTCCATTTTATAGACTTCAAGTTGGCAGTCATACAAAGGAAATACTCTTGATTGATAACTTGTATCTCTGGTGGATTGTCAAACCAAGGTTTATTTGGGCATGCAATTTGTAAGGTTTCACTTGTATTTGCCTCCACTGAGAGGCATGTCCTTCCCATATATTCCTAAATTTAAAAAAATCAAACCCAAAAGAATAGTAGGTAATGGAAATTTTCCAGATGGTATCCATACGTTACTGAATAGATAGCAGGAAGTGGATGTCCACAGAGGCTGAGCTGACTTTGGCTGTGGCCACACCCTCCTGCCAGTCATCAAGTAATGATGTCATCCTCATCCCCCTCCTCTACAGAGCAAGACACTAGCTTTCATTGCTTTGCGTACACAGTGCCTGGCACATAGCAGGCACACAGCAGGCCTTCCATGGTGATGACTTGTAGATAACAGTTATGATAATTAGGGATTCTCATGGAACAAACCAAAAGGAGAGAGAAATGTGGCCTGGGTTAGAATGCTGGGGCATTTCTTTTGGCCTTGCCATCTGAGTTTCATTAAGTTTGCCTTGATTTTTTCTTTTTGCATTTTGGGCATGATTAGAGACTTATTTTCATAACTAAATTTGACCTTCTAAACCTTGAATCAGAGGGCTTGGGATTTATTTCAGGGAAAATGAACTATTAGATCAAGAAACGGGTCCTGTGGATCAATCCCATACAATGTATTTCTATCAAAATACTCAGTGATTTATAGTATATATAATAGGAAAATTGATGTTCTATGTCTGAATCAGATCATTGATTCTTAAATCATGTATCAATACAAATGGCTTAGACTTTTGATTTAACCTCTGAATTTAATTAATCTATCCAATGAAACCAATGACTGCAAGAATCATCCTATGCAACAGAGTCACAGAAAGACATACCACATCCCCATTTCAACTTTTTTTGACACCTTGAACAGAAAAGGCAGTTTTGCCCAGCATGGTATCTTGACCTGCTTCTGCCCAGAGATGCCACTGACACTTCCAGACTCATGAGAGAGGAGAAGAGGGAGGAGGATCAGAACGACCACTGGGATCATCCTGTGCTGTGGAGCATCTCAGGCCTTAAAACAACTTCCTCAGCATCGCAAGAGAGAACCCACCAGCACAGGGATCAGTCCTCAGTACCCGAAGTATTGCAGGACAGTGAAACCCAATATTGTCCTCCTGAGGATGCTGGCCATTGTGAACCAAAATGTTTTAATCTACCTGAAATCTCTTTGTTTAATGAAAGTAACACCAATGATGCAGAAGGTTTTCAGAATAAGTCAGAAAATTTCAGTGACCTGATGACTCAGAAAGATGAACACAGCTTGAGAGTCAAGTCCAGTTGGACGTTGCTGCAACATACATCCCAGGAAGTGTCTATAAATAATGGAGGCAAGCAGGCCAGGCAAGGCAAGGTGCTCTGCTTGGTTCTGTCTGAAGACATTTCTCATGAGGAGAGAGCATCCTGCAGTGCCCCACAGAGTGTACTGGCCTCTGAGTTTTACAGTGAGCAGCAAGGTAAGGAAGAATTGGATGCTAAAAAAATGAGCTCATCAGAGTCACTGATAAATATCAGGACAGAAGGAAACAATGGACTGGGATATTTTTACCACAAGTTCTCAGACCTTTATAAAGATACCAGCAGTCACCTCCTTCAGGCTGGCACAAAGGTGATCAGCCAATCCAGGCTCATGGGAAGTCTGTGTGCCCCGAGGGGGCTCCCCTCCAAGGTAACAACATTTGTCAGAAGCCTGCCATTTCTGAAGCACTTGGCCCCACACATGCCCTTCAAGATTGACGTGCAGTCGACAGAATCTCGTTCTCTTGAAGCTCGGCTTGTCAGCAATGAGAGCAAAGCTGCGGGGAGCCTGAGGCCAGCAGAGGGTGTGGCACCTTACCGGGCCTCTGTCTCTGCAGCCGTAGGTTTACCACATTCCTTGCCAAGCTCAGTTTTTCGCCTGGAATATGAAGATGCTAGAAAGTGTTCTGCATTTAAGCAGAGCCTTGTGCAATTCCCCGACCAAATGCTGAAACTTCAAGAGTGCCCATTAAAAGACCTTCTTAAGCATGTGACTTGTTCTCTACCAGAACCTTTGGGCAACCTGAATGAAGTCAGAGGCATTTACTGGCTTGCTGTTGCTAACTGCACAGCGCCTGACCCCCAGCCAGCGTGTTTGCTCCTGCTTCAGTCAACTTTATATGCTTTGGTCCTGTCAGATAATCTCCTTGGCTCAATGAGCATTTTTCATGCTCTACCTCTCTCTGGTCTACAGGAGATTCAGATTGGCTTTGCTGGACAAAGCATTCGATTCCTGAGCTCTGCAGAGGGTCTTTTGCTCACTGTGTTCAGTTACAACAAACACCTCTCTCAACAGCTCTGTCGTGACCTCCTGTGTGTCCTGATGCCAGAACCTGATGTCGCTGCCTGTGCCGATCATCCCTTGCTCCAGCAAGATCTGGTTCAGCTTTCTCTTGATTGTAAAGCAGAAATCCCTGAATTAGTTTTGCCAAACAGAGTTCAGGTGTCATCCAAATTCCAGACTATCATGGTTGACATGATTTACTTTCTTCATGGAAATATGGAAGTCAACGTCCCTTCCCTGGCAGAAGTTCAGTTACTGTTCTACACAACAGTGAGAGTCATGGGTGACTCTGGCCATGACCAGTGCCAGTCGCTAGTCCTTCTGAACACCCACATTGCACTAGTGAGGGAAGACTGTGTTTTTTATCCACGCACTCGGTCTCTAAACATACCTCCTCCAGGTGCACAATTTGATGTGATCAAGTGCCATGCTTTAAGTAAATTCAGATGTGTGGTTGTTCCAGAAAAGAAAAATATATCAACAGTAGAACTTGTCTTCTTAGAAAAACTCAGACTTCCGGTGGATTCCAGAAATAGTCCATCTGAGCACCTTCAGGCAGCCCCAAATGTCCAGTCATTCACCACCCCATTGGACCTTCAAGGCAGTCAGAATGTCACACCTGAGGTCTGGAAACTTACTCTCAGTTCTCAAGATGAGGCTCTTTGGCTAATCTCACATTTGACAGGACTCTATGGAGGAGACTTTTGAAGATGCGTGCCATGTATTTTTGAGATCATTAATAAAATAAGCATCAAAACAATCAAGGCAATATGAGTATCTCTGTTTAGCTAATTGAATTGGAACTGGACAAATGCAGACTTCTAAAATTGAAAATGTAAATATTTTTAACGACAATAAAATAAAAATAGCTAATAGCAGAGCCCTGTTAAAATATCTTTATCACCACCTTGCTTCATTTTCTCGAAACTCAGCTTGTAAATTTGGGTCTGCCTCATTGTTTGTGAGGTGATTAAAGCATTTCTGATTGGCTTAGTGTTGATTTATAGTGTGGTGGCTTGGAAGCTGTCTGTGCCTGCTGGATTCTGGCAGGCTAATTTGTGCTGCCTGAAAAGTGCCCAGTCTGGCAGTGACCTTCATTGACAACCTTGGTTTCAGCTGTGATTAGGATAGTTATGTAGCAGAGCATATTAGTGATGCGTCAAGCTTCCTGTGAGGACCCAGGGATTTAAAGTGTCCTCCCATCACCATGGCATGTGGAATCCAGAAAGCGATGCCTGCCCTGCAGTGTCTTCCTCAGTTCACTGCCTTTACCTCCTCCTTTCATACTTCTTGATGTTTCCCTTCTCACCCTTGTGATTTCGGCTCCTCACTTGTTGGTGTAGTTTTGACTATTCCTCCTAACCCCCATCCCCCTCCACCACCATATTCCAGTTCTTTCTCAGAACTTTTCTCTCTCTATCCTGTAAGTCTCTTTCACCTCAGAGTCTCACTTTTTCTCCTGGCTTGCTTTCTGCTGTCTTGTCGAATATATAGTCCCCTTAGAGGCATTCAGCACTTTGTCCTGGCTGCCTCCCTCTGGTATCTCACCCAGACACCACTCATACCTTTGATCGAGGTCTCCTGCTGGCCCTAGCTGGTCAGTTTACTGGCCTCCCTTCTCAGGCGAGTTCTCCCACTGCATCTGCCCTGGGTGGGGTTTCTCTCTCCATGAAGCTTCACCCAGTAGTCAGCTGCCTCCTCCTACCGCAGCTTCAGACTGTGGCTCTTCAGGGTCTCTTGCTTCTCTGATCAACCCTTTCTTTTCTGTCCCCTTCAGTTCAAAAATCCTATCAGGTTACACATTTCCTATTTGTTTTTAATTTCATCTGACCCTAGTTGCTCTGCCACTGTTCTCCCCTCTCAGGTGTGTGTTCATCTAAATCCAGAGTTCTCAGATGGAAGGGGAAGGAGAAGTGCTTCTGTCTTGCTCTGTCCACTCTCCTTCCACTCTCAGCCAAACCATCCTTATCCCGCGGTAGCTCTCAGTGGATGTTGGACACAGTTGAGTGAGTCAGTGATTCTGTTAAGCTGTTCATTTTAACCCTGGCATGGAAGGGGAATTTTCTATTCTGGTTAAATCTTTGAATAAGTACAACATAAATGTTGTAGCACCTTCTTCATTTCTGTTCCTAATCAATGACAGAGATGGTGTTAAAGCTTAACACACACAGAAACTTACCATCTTCCTTTGGCCAGGAAGTGCCCATCTTCCTTCCTTCCCCTATCGGAGGGAATGACAAGCTACCTACACTGGCTC